ATTTATAAATGTATGAATCATATGATAAAAAATTGACTTTGAAAAATAAATCTGTTCATTTTTTCTTATAAAAGACTAAATAAAATATTAACATTGGTGGTAATTTTTGACTGTGTAACTTTATAAACGACACCCCATAAAACAGACTGAGATTTAACCAAAACTAAGAATTAATATTAAACACAGAAATGTGCAGTTTTATATGTGTCTTTTTAAACCATGCTCAGATCATTTAACTGCATATATTTAATAATTTACAGTGTTCAGGGTCACATGTTGACAGCTCAGACTGATGTGACCTGGGTCGACCCGGGTCGACTCAAGGCCACCGTTTGTTATGGCTGTAGTTTATCTGAAAACATGGCAGCAGCATCTGAATGAGACTGAAATACACGTTTCTCTGCTGGTTATCAGATCAGTGGTTTGGTTGTAGTGAGTTAGTGCTCACTTTATTAAAACCAGCATGAAACACAGATGATGTACTGAACACTGTGGTCGACTGCACCTGGGCTGCATTGAGCACAGATCCACTGAAACTTCCTGTTTCAGCTTCAAAACTGTCAAACAAGGTCGTCCCTCACTTACTGGATTAAACTAAAAGGTAGCGAAGAAGAAAATCCTGCAACAGAAATCCTTCAGAACTGCTGGGATTATTCCAGATTTCAAAGGGCTGGCTTTGGATGGACAGGGAATAAATGAGCATCAATTTATGGTTTAGAAAACAAAACATTCTCCAAGATHAACTCAATAAGTGCTGTCCCTCCATGGTTATATCCAAATATCAAAACTGACATGAAAAGAAAATGGTACCTGAATGAAATAGGGGTTAAAACCAGTATTCACCTAAAACAATCCTATTTTAATTATCTAAAAATATACACAGATGGACCTAAAAATACAGCGGCAGCCATTGAAAGTTTAAAATCTAAAAGAAACTGTAGGAAAGATCTTATATTAGAAGTATATCACAGTTTGTTCAGGCTACACAGGGGAGGTACAGATGGTCATTTTTGTTGGGTACCAGCACATGAGGGGGTGAAGGGAAATAAACCTGCAGATAAAATAACAAAAAGGCTTTGGGAGCACAAATAACTCTCCCTATCACATCTGGAAAAGGTGAAGGCAGATCAATAATCAGAGAGAAAGAAACAGAAATATGACAGAAATATGGAATGAGGATAAAAAGGGAAGAAAATTATAAAGAATACAAAACTCAGTACAAATACAGAAATTAATAAAAAGAAATAGAAGAGATGATGTAATTATTATGAGACTGAGAGTGGGGCTTTCTTATTTAAATGACTTTTTATTTTTAATAGGAAAAAGGAATGGTGATAATTGTGAGAGTTGTGGAGAGAAAAAAAATGTGGAACAGGTCCTGATGACGTGTACAAAACACACCGCTGAGAGAGAGAGGATGAGGGGAACAGTCAGAGAGGTAGGGAAAGAATGGAGTTTAAAGGGATGTTGGAACAGAAGGAATAAGGAGAAAATTGAGAAAATAAGGAAAGAATTGTTTTTATTTTTACACAATACAAAATTAAAATATAGGATTCACGTGGAGGTATGACGTTACACATTCATGCACAGTAGGTG